TTTGCAGTTGCTCAGCCCTTGTTTGTGTTTGGGGAGTGGCCCCGCGGTGGGAGATGCCACGTCCTCGATGTGACAGAGGATGTTGTCTCTGAACAACAGTCAGGTTGTACAGCCATAAAGACTGCTGCTCGTTCTGAAAAATAAGATGAACCTGTTCCTCATCTGATGCTCCAGTCAGGGTAGAATACATAGGCAGAGGGAGACTTCCTACATATGGGCTCCATGGCCTTGTCCACAGGGAGTTGGCATAGTGCGGGGCTGTGGGCCATTCCCTGGGGCAGCACTGTCCATTCATATTTGTACTAGGGCTGAATCATATTAATGCTGGGAGCAGAGAAAGCACATTTTTCCCCATCCGCTAGATACAGGGGTATGGGGGAGGGGGAAGCAATCCTTTACCCAGGCACTGATGGCTCACGCCTGTCATCCTGGCTACTTAGGAGGCTGAGATCTGAGGATCACGGTTCAAAGCCAGCCCAGGCAGGAAAGTCCTGAGACTCTTATCTCCAATCAGCCACTAAGAAAACTGGAAGTGGTGCTGTGGCTCAAGCGGTAGAGCATTGGCCTTGAGCTGAAGAGCTGAGGGACAGCGCCCAGGCCCAGAGTTCAAGCCCCACGACCAACAAAAAAAAGCAAGCCTTTCAGTCCAGTACCAATAGGGACAAAGATAAGTGAATAGCTGTTGGTGAGGGCAAGCCAGGTTGCAAGACACCCAGAGGGAACATAGCTGTATTAACCTCCAGCAGGTCCTGGAGAAGTCTCCATTTCCCTCATTTCTTTTTAACAACAAAGAAAAGTGTATTTCAGGAACTAGTAGAAGGCTTAATATGGCCTTGTGACAATTGCTCATGAACCAGAGCCTTGGTAACGTCAAGTTTTTCCTAAGGCAAAGGCCACTGATCTACCCATATGGGTGTTGAGGTCTTCCAGCGATAGGTCTGCATGTAAAGCTGCCATTATCAGCAGCCCAGAGGAAAACCCCAGCCCTGTCTGTGTGGGTTAGCACCAGGCTGGTAAGGTCCCAACCTCCCTTTCCCTTTTGGTCCCAGACCTGACTGTGGATATAAGCACCCAGCTGAGACTACACGTCACGGCCCCACAGATTTACTGGAAGATCGGGCAAAACAAGGGGTTGGACCATTCCCAAATGACCTTCCTTGGTCAGCCACCGCAGCATGGCAGAACGTTTTTTATGGGGGGGAGGGTCAGTTGTGGGTCTTGAACTCTGGGCCTGGGCGCTGTCCCTGAGCTCTTTCGCTCAAGGCTAGCGCTCTACCACTTGAGCCACAGCGCCACTTCCAGTTTTCTGAGTGGTCGATTGGAGATAAGAGTCTCATGGACATTTTTCGTGCCCAGGCTGGCTTTGAACCGTGATCCTCAGATCTCAGCCTCCTGAGTAGCTGGGATGACAGGCGGGAGCCACTGGCGCCCGGCTCGGAAGAACTTTAGGACAGGCCTGTGCCCTGCAGCAGGGTGAGGCCCTCTTCTGTTGGTCAGGAGGGAGCCAGTGTAGGACAGACATCAGCTCAGGTGTCAACTAGGTCTGAAAAAGCTTCCCTCTGATGGACAGTTCTACCTCAGATCGCCCTTGCCCAATTCTCTGAAGCCCCAAGGCCTTATCAGTGGAGCCACGCCTCAATTTTCATGATTAGGGGAAGAGACCTACCAGAAAGAGGAACTAAAGGAAGTGGAGTCAAATGAGCAGTGGGGAGATGGGCAGGGACCAGCAAGGTTCCTGTTTCCAGCCCAGCAGGAATTTGAATGTGTCTGTATAATCAGGACCAGTGACCCCTGGGCAGATGAATCAGTCCTTTCTACTCCAGCTGGCCCTGCCCAGCACCAACTCTGCTGTTTGCCTCTGTCTTGTCAGACAAGAAAAAGTTGCAAGTCCCCAGTGTCCCCACCCCGCTCCTTGGACTGCAGACACAGGTGGAGGAGTCTGGGTTACAAGAAGGTGGGAATGCCTCCCTACCCCCTTTGTTTTTTGGTCAGTGGTGGGGCTTGAACTCAGGGCCTGGGCGCTGTCCCTCAGCTCTTCAGCTCAAGGCGGGCGCTCTACCACTCGAGCCACAGCGCCACTTCTGATTTTTTCTGTTTCTGTGGTGCTGAGGAATGGAACCCAGGGCCTCATGCATGGAAGGCAAGCGCTCTACCACTGAGCCACCTGCCCAGCCTCATGGCACAGACGTTCCAGGCCTCTAACACTCCTGCACTCCGACTGACAGCCCCCTCTCCCTCCACATCTAACGTACAAAGGAGGGTCTCTGTATTTTCCCCTCCGACAAGAATTTTATAGAAACAATTTCAGTCTGGTGATTGGGGTCAAGACTCTCTTATTCCAAACAGAAAATGTCTGGGGGCTGGGGGGACGGCATGTTTTCCTCTGATTTTTTAATTCTTGACCCGCCTTTTGCCGTGTAGCCAAATCCACCGTTCCCTCTTCAGAGAGCCAGGGACAGAGATTCTCTACAACCTCAAAAAATGCCTCTAGCCTCTTTGAACTTACCCTGCAGCCTTTTTCTTCACAAGGGCCCAGGGCTGTCAGAAACAGTCACCTTTCTGGACTGGGAAGGTGGCCTCGCACGCAGGAGGCCCCCGGTTCGATTCCTCAGCACCACATAAACAGAAAAAAAATGGAAGTGGCGCTGTGGCTCAAGTGGTAGAACACTAGCCTTGAACTAAAAGAGCTGAGGGACAGCGCCCAGGCCCAGAGTTCAAGTCCCACGACTGACAAAAAGAAAAGAAAGAAAAGCAGTCGCCTTCCTTTGCTCTGATTCACCCCCATCTTCTGTCTCCTCTCCTTTTCTACTTGTGTGCTTCGCGGTCCCTGTACCCAACCATTTCTGTGCTGGAGAAGTCCTCCCTGGGGTTTCCTTGGGTCCCTGTTGGGGGCCAGTGGGCCCAGTCCAGTCAGGGCAAAAACAGGGGCTCCCAAGGGGCAAGGGGTGGACGAAGGAGACGGAGAGAAGGCTGAAGGCAGAGCGGTGTCTATTCCAGCAAAAGCCTCCGCTTTATTATTCCAGGACCCACCATGCCATCAAGTGCAGCCTGCATACATCTTCCTCCTCTTAGCTCAGAGCTCCCCCATGACCCAGCAGTCCCACTTCCGGGCATTTACCCACACGATCACAAACAAGGCCATACCAAAGCTACCAGCACAACCATGCCCATCACAGCATTATTTACCATAGCTAAGATATGGAACCAACCCAGATGCCCCTCAGTAGATGAATGGATCAAGAAAATGTGGTATATATACGCAATGGAATTCTATGCCTCCATCAGAAAGAATGACATTGCCCCATTTGTTAGGAAATGGAAAGTCTTGGAAAAAATTATATTAAGTGAAGTAAGCCAGGCCCAAAGAAACACAGGTCCCATGGTTTCCCTTATTTGCAGTAACTAGTATAAGTCTAGGACAAGCAGAAAAGGTCAAAAGCTATGTACGTATGACCAGATAAGATGATGTTAAGCAAAATAAATCCCATGTTAGGGACACAACTGGTTTTTTATTTCTGGCTAATGTTTTGATTTTGATTTTTATTTTTTTATTGTGAAAATACTGTACAGAAATAATGTGGCTGTTGTTTTTAATGTATTTCTAATGCCAGTCCTGGGGCTTGAACTCAGGGCCTGGGCGCTGTCCTTAAGCCTCTTTGGCTCAAGGCTAGCACTCTACCACTTGAGCCACAGCACCTCTTCCGGCTTTTTTTTGCGTATGTGGTGCTGAGGAATTGAACTGGGGACTTCATACTGAAAGACCCCAGACTCCTGGGATACTTTCGTCTACAGGAGGGCGCCCCAGAAACCAAGACTCCAAACCAGTAGATGCAACAAGCAAGAGGAGTTTATTTAGCGTTTGTGCAAATGGTCTCTCTGCCTCGGCAAGGGAGAGCGCCCTGAACAGCGGTTACAGACATTCTTAAAGGCAGAAACCCCAAGATTGACACATAACACAAGGTGTCTGGGGACTGGCACGTTTAGAGGTCACTATACACTCCAGCAATCATTTTTACTATGCGGGAAAGTTTATAACACTCTTTGTAAAACAGTTGGCTCAGGGCAAGTCTGGGGGAGCGGTCACCCTGGAGGGGAGTTTACATAGTTACAGGCTTGTGATTGATTAACATTTGGCCTAGTTTGCTGGACTTGCCAGGTGGTCCTTATCTTGGGTCCTTATCTCGGGTTCCATTCTTGGGTCCCATTCTTGGGTCCCATTTGACCAGTTGGGGAATTTACTTGTTTGTTCTTTATTTATGACCACAGACCTTGTCCCGGGGCCGGCATCTGGGCTCCGAGTCTTTTTACTCAATTCCTTATTTCCAGAAAAGGGGGGGGAGGGGTTAGTGCTAGGGTGAGCAAGTTTACAAAAGTGAAATCAGCAGTTAGCAATTGTAAAATGTAATTCTAATTTTTTTTTAAATTTTATTTTATTTTATTTGAGAACATACTGTACAGAGGGGTTACAATTACATGGGCAGGATAATGCATACATTTCTTATGTAATTCTAATTTTTAATCTTTCAGTACATGCTAGGCGAGCACTCTACCACTAAGTCACATTCCCAAGCCACAAAAGTGTTTATATACAAATTATATTACAAGATAGAGAAGCCTTATAATCTGCTATTTCATCCTTGTTGGGAATCTTCAGTACAGTGTAGCTGCGGGTGGCTCACGCCTGTAATCCTGGCTACTGAGGTGGCTGAGATCTGAGGATCACGGTCCAAAGCCAGTCCCAGGTATTTGGTTTTCAACTAGCCAGGCACAGCGGGGAGGCTCTTGGCAACTAAGGAGGCTGAGATCAGAGAATGGGAATTCAAAGCCAGCCTGGGCAGACAGATCGGAGACTCTGATGTCCAATCAGCCAGCAAAAAGCTGGGAGTAGAGCTGTGGCTCCAAGCGGCAGAGTGAAAAAGCCCAGAGACAGTGCCCAGCCCTGAGTTCAAGCTCTAGGACCAGCAACCCACCCAAAAAAGGAAAACCAAAGACACCACAGCAACTGTAAATAGCAGATTATAAAGATTTCTCTTTGGCCCTCTGTGGTGGTCAATAGGGGCCAAGGCCTGTGGTGGACTCTTGATTATTTCCACTTTCTTTATGGCTAAGGAGCCATGTGCATATATATGTGTCCAGCCAGGATGAGAGGTGTGAGCCTCAGCCAGGAGACCCCATGCAGCAAGGACCCCGAGGTGGCTGCACACTGCACGTAGCTGCTTGGCTTGCTGCAGATCCACTTCCGCTCCGTGTAGAACCGCGCGCTGCTGATGCCCACACCGTTCAGAAAGCCGCACTCCCCGGCTCCCCTCACCTCAACCCTGCAAACAAGCAGAGAAGGAGTTCCTACTCATACTGGAGTCTATGCTTTTTACAATTTGTCCTTTGTGTCAGTCCTGAGCTTGAACTCAGGGCCTGGGCGCCATCCATGAGCTCCTTTTGCTCAAGGCTGGAGCTCTACCACTTGAGCCACAGCGCCACTTCCTGTGGCTCCTTGGACATGGAGTCTCACGGACTTTCCTGCCCGGGCTGGCTTTGGACGGTGATCCTCAGCTCTCAGCCTCCTGAGTCGCTGAGACGGCAGGCGGGAGCCACCAGTGCACAGCTCTGTCATTTTTTTTTTTTTTGCACTTCCATTCTGGTTTTTGGATTTTAGTTTGTGTGTGTGTGCGTGCCTGGTCCAGGGGTTGGAACTCAGGGACCTGGACCCTGTTCCTGAGCTTTTGCACTGAAGCCACAGCTCCACTGCCAGCGTTTTGGTGGTAAATGGGAGATGAGGGTCTCACAGACTTGGGCTGGGCAGGTGGCTCAGCGGTAGAGCGCTCGCCTAGCATGTATGAGACCCTGGGTTCGATTCCTCAGTACCACATACACAGAAAAAGCTGGAAGTGGAGCTGTGGCACAAGTGGTAGAGCACTAGCCTTGAGCAAAAGCTCAGGCACAGCGCCCAGGCCCTGAGTTCAAGCCCCAGGACTGGCACAAAACAAAGAAACAAACAAAAAGATGGCTGATACGTACAAGTTGCTGAACTCGGTGTTGTCTGCCCACTTCCAACTGTGCTGTGGAGATTCCCTTCTGAGGCCAATCCAGTGGTCGTACGAATCTCTGTGCCTTTCCAAGAAACCCTGTAATCAAACACAGTCAGTTGAAAATAGGAGTCCTTGTCTGTCAGAGGATTTTGTTTCTTTTTCCTTTTTTTTCCCCCAGCCCAGGGGCTGGTTTTGAACTGTGATCTCACGTCTCACCTCCTGAGTATTATAGGAGTAATTATTTCTTTGTCTTTGTCTTTTCATGTGTGTGTTTATGCGAGTCCTGGGGCTTGAGCTCAGGGCCTGGGCACTGTCCCTCAGCTGCTTTTGCTCAAGACTAGCACTCTACCACTAAGCCACATTCCCAGCCCTGTCCTTGAGCTCTCTTGTTCAAGGCTTTAACACGTGAGCCACAGCTCTCCTTCCAGCTCTTTTTGGCTGGTTAACTAGAGACAAGAGTCTCACCGAGGTTCTTGCACAGGTTGGCTTGGAAACCACGATCCTCAGATCTCAGCCTCCTGAGGAGCTGGGATCATAGGTGTGAGCCACTGGCACCCACCCTTCATTAAGTTTTAGCTTCCACCTTACACAACCTGTCCAATTTTGGGGTGTCTTTTAGCATGTCACAGAAAAGAGGAACCCCAAAAGCATTTCTTACCAACTCCTCCTTGCTGTCAAACTTGACCAGATTGGCACCAAAGGTTGCACAGAAGTCCTGACTGGAGGTCCAGTTCCTTACATCATCAGAAAAATAATAACACTTGTTCCCAAATCCAATCCAGGCTCCAGGGCAAGAGGAAAGAAGCCTTGTCTCCGGAATACGGCTTTCTCTTTGGTCCACTAACATACAGACAACGGATTAGCTGCTCATCAACCACTCCTTTCCCCTGCCCAGACCCCAGGCCTAGACACAACTCTTCATTGGAAGCCACTCACCTGCCGCAAGCACAGCAAGAAGTCCAAGTGCAGGTATAAGCAGAATGTTAATGAGCACGGAGCAGTAAAATTTCCTGGGTGTGATGGGCGACAAAACTCCTAGGCATTTTCCTGGGAGAGCTTTCACTGGAAACACTGAAAAAGGAAGGTTTGAATCTAATGAAAGACGAAGAAGGAAGGCTGTCCCCGCACGCCTGAAGCCCAGGGTTCGATTCCTCAGCACCACGCACACAGGAGGGGCCAGAAGTGGGGCTGTGGCTCAAGTGGTAGAACGCCAGCCTTGAGAGACAGCGCCCAGGCCCTGAGTTCAAGGCCCAGCGTGATCATCTACGAGAGCTTCTGTAAATATGACATACTATCTAGTATATGCGCTCATGAATATATACTGTGTATAACATAACATAGGATATACTGTATTACACTACATGGACTCTTACTACAGACTGTTATCTTATAGATCATAATTTTACATATTGTGTTGTATAAAAATTACAATATAAGATAGGTAAAGTATATAGTCAATTAGATAATATACATACTGTTTTCTGTAAGATAATATAAAAGAATACTATATGCTATATATCATATAATACATACACTATGATATAAAGTATATTTAACATGAAATATGAATATAAATACATGTAATAAAATACAATATAAATTATAAAATTAAAAACAATACAAAATATAAAAGTATATGATACATATTTTACAATATAAAATATATATTCTATGTATGTATATAGCATATCTATCAAAGTACAGATACTATATGATGCTAATTATATGTAATATAAAGTATATGTACTGTATATCATAGTATATGTCCTATATGCTATATGATGTATAATATATAGTATGTAATGTATATTGTTAGATAGCCCATCTAAATACTATGTTAATTAGTATGATATACTGCATAAAACGTGTATGATAGGTGTTATGATACATGTTATACTACATATATAAAAACACAATGAGCAGTCTTTATGTAAGTATTGTATTGTCACATTAAACCAAACACACAGGGACTCCAGCCGGAATGGAACTTGCACGCACTGTTTCTGGCCCAGGCATTTTAGGACATCACTCAGAGAGCACGCCCATCTACCCTCTTCACCGGTTACCTTCCACGTCTGCCCAAAAGCCTGCACACAGGTGCTCCCTGCAGTTTCTCTTGTACGCCAGCCCCTCCCTCTGTTTGCCGGATTCCTGGCTCTCAGCTTAAAGCAGGCTAGAGAGCATGAGGAAGAAAAGAAGCCTCACACCTCGGGTTGTTTTTTAAGAATCTGACTTCCTTCAAGAGATCAACAGGTGATAATGTCACCTACAGTTTCCTGCTGGCTTTGCTGTGTGTGTGTGTGTGTGTGTGTGTGTGTGTGTGTGTGTGTGTGTGTGTGTGTGTGTGTGTGTGTGTACACTAGTACCTTGGGCCACAATCTTTTTGCCCAGGCTTGCTGCTTGACCTCCACAGCCAGGCCTTGAGCCCAGCTCATTGGTGGTTTACTGGAGATGAGTCTCATGACTTCGTTTGAAGCCAATAATCCTCAGATCTCAGCCTCCTGAGTAGCTAGGATGACAAGCGTGAGCCACTAATTTAAGTGTAATTAATTGCATTTCTAACAGGGCAACAGGGGATATCTATATTTGGAAGCATAGGTGGTTGTTGTTTTCATTTTTACTTGATATGCACTGAGTGTGTTTATTTTTCTTCTGCTGTTCTTAGTTTGGGTAGTTTTCTCTTCCCTTCCAAATTCCTATGCCTCTCATTCTGCCCTCTGAACACAGTTGCCCTCAAATTCTGTTAGGAAAGACTAAAATTGCCTCCTAAAAGACCAAAGAAGTCAGGTACCCATGGCTCACATCTGTCATCCCAGCTACTCAGGAGGCTGAGATCTGAGGATCACAGCTTGAAGCCAGCCCAGGCAGGAAAGTCTATGGGACTCTTATCTGCAATGAACCAGCAAAAAGCTACAAGTAGAGCTGTGGCTCAAGAGGTGGAGTACTAGTATTCAGCACAAAAGCTCGGAGACCAAATGCAGGCATTGATTCCAAGCCCCAGGACTGGCACACAGACAAAACAAAGAACAAAGAAATGACAGGCTGAACTTATGAAACCTGTTTTGTAAGCATTACTCTTGGCACGAGGGTTTGCTGAGTTTGCTAAAGGCAGAACTTGCTGATAATCTTTTTTTGGGGGGGGGGGGAGGGGTCTGGTCAGGGGCCTGAACTCTGGGCCTGGGTGCTGTCCCTCAGCTCTTCAGCTCAAGGCTAGCACTCTATCCCTTGAGCCACAGCGCCACTTCTGGCTGTTTTTCTTTTTGCTTATGTGGTGCTGAGGACTCGAACCCAGGGCCTCATGCATGCAAGGCAAGCGCTCTACCACTGAGCCACCTTCCCAGCCCCTTGTTAATAATCTTGTTTCTGCTGGGACAACAAAAAGGATTTTTTTTCTTCCAAATAAGGAAATTTTCCACTCTGGCAACTGATCCAAACCAAAAGGGGGGGAAAAAAAAAGTCAGGGCTCTGTTTCTGATTTTTCACATAATTCTCTTTGCTGAAAAAAAAAAAAAAAAACAACATTCTCCCCAAAGCCATATGAGTATCATCTGAAGCTGGGCTCTATTTCCAGCAGGAGTTGGACAGAAAGCATTCTCCAGATTCCTACATGTTTTAGTAATTACAAAGGACCTACAATCCATAAGCTCTTCCCAGTTTTGTAGACTTTTTCTCTGTGTGTGTGTGTGTACACGCACAAGCAAGTCCGGGGCCTTGAACTCAGGCCCTAGGCACTGTCCTTAGTTGCTTTTTTTAACTGAAGGCTGGCGCTCTACCACTTGAGCCACACCTCTGCTTCTGGCTTTTGCTGGTTAATCAGAGATACGAGCCTCGCTGACTTTACCTGCCTGGACTGGCCTTATGCAGTGAATCCTCAGATCTCAGCTAGGATGACAGGCAAGAGCCAATAAAGCCCTGATTTAGGGCAAATTGTGCAAGGGTTGCAGTATACATTGCAAGATTATGGTCATTTTGCCATCCTGCCCCAGTGCAAATGAAGAGAGGAAATAACCTGGGAAAGAGAAAAAGAGGAAGAAGAAGAGGAGGGGAGAGGAGGATGAGGAATAAGAAAGAAGAAGAAAGAGGAGGAAGCAAGTAAAGAAACTCAGCTCTGCTCCCCCTCCAAACCACTTCCCATTCCTTGCTACCCCAACTCAAGTGACCCATCCCAGATGCAACCTTCCCTCCCTCCGTCCCAGACTGAGCTGCCTTTGTGGCAGATGCAGTCCTAAGGAGCCTGACCGGGAAGCGTCTGCCTGGACTCACGGATGGGGTTACCTGCTTACCTGTTGGCCTGCTTTCTGGGTCCTCTGTGGAAGAGAAATCCCTCTGCAACATTCCCGCAGAAGTTTCCAGAGATGTCATTTTTTTCCCCTCCCAGCTCTGCTCAGGCGGTAGGACTGGAGCTGGGACTCATGGAGCTGGGATCTTGGCACTGGCTGCAATCACGTGAGAGGCAGACACACACATTTCCTAACGCCAGACCCCTGGCTCCTAGCCCTGAGGGAGAAGAAAACAGAACCAACCCGGGAGAGGAATTAGGACGGGAACATACATTAGAAACCACACGACCCATAGGTTCAGAATGAACCTCTCCATCCCCACCCATTTCAGACACACCTTCCAGGCTAGCACAACGCGGGGAGGAGGGAGAATTCCCAGCTGCCATCAGTTAAAATAGTAATTTTTTTAAAGAGCAGGGCCCCTAAGCTGGGATGCATTTTTTAAAAAAATAATCCTGAAGCAGGACAGCAGCTGATTGGCCCAGACTGAAATCTTATCTTGAGCATCTGGAGCCCAAAGAATCTAGGGCAGAAACGGTTGTGAAATTCCTCACTCCTTCACCAACAAAAAGTCAGGAGTTAAGTGGAGGAGAGGTGGATGGGCAGCAGGGCCCAGAGCCAGCTGTGTGTGAACAAGCTCAAGGATAGCACGATAATAATAATATACATTAAAAATAAAAGCAACAAAAATAACCAAGACACACAAAAAAGAGCCCCCCACACACAAAGAATAAAAGGTAAATCCCTAAAGCATGTATGTGAACAAGCTCAAAGATAGCACAATAATAATAATAAATTAAAAATAAAAGCAAAAAAATAACCAAGACACACAAAAAAGAGCCCCCCCACAAAGAATAAAAGCTAAATCCCTAAAGCATGTGAGTGAACAAGCTCAAAGATAGCACAATAATAATAATAATAAATTAAAAATAAAAGCAAAAAAATAACCAAGACACACAAAAAAGAGCCCCTCCACACACAAAGAATAAAAATCCCTAAAGCATGTGCATGAACAAGCTCAAAGCTAGCACAATAATAATAATAAGTTAAAAATAAAAGCAACAAAAAATAACCAAGACACACAAAGAATAAAAGATAAACTATGGACGGATAGGAGTATGACTCAAACAATAGAGTTGCCTAAGAAGGAAAAGAAAAAAACAGGAAAGGCAGACTCTTAACTACTAGTAACAGGCACACAGCTGTGAGCTGCAGATGCTCAAACCCACGGGCCATTCTCAAGCCGGACGCAGGCAGCCCTGCTAACCCGCCCAGGGCAGAGAGAAAACCCTCAGCCCAGGAGTGTAGCGCAAGGCTCAGTACTCACTCCTGAAACCCGTCTCACAGGGTGAAGCCAGTCCCCAGAAGCCGATCCGCGCCAGAAAGCGCAACAAATAGCAGACGTTGATCCCGCCCAGCATCATACCAGAGCCAAATGCAAAACACTTCCGCATACCCACTGCCAAGTTGTGCAAATTTTCCTTCTTCCTTGACCACATTTTATACATGCACAACCTATGTGTGTGTGTGTGCATTTTAAACAAGATGCAAACTTCATAAAAGTCTGGGCTGCAGTGGAGATGTACTCAACTGTCCTAGCCAGTGTGAAGTCCAGGGTTCCAAGTTGGCTCCATGAGAAGAAGAAGCCCAGCCAGCATGGTGGCTGGTTTATAGAAATAATAATAATAGTATGATAATAATAACAAAGATAATAATAGGCAAATTAAACTGGCAGCCGAGGACAGAGCATTCTGGAAGGGGCAGGTGGAGGGTTGAAGCCACAGGCAGTCTCTGGTCACGTTGCCAGCACCCACAGCGGGATTAACAAAGACAGAACCAGGATCAGGACCAAGGGCAGGGCAGGAGGAGGTTTGACACACCCAGTACCTAAGCGGCCTCAGGGAGGAGACCAGCCAGGAGCAGGGAGGAGTCTGCCCCGCCTTCCTGGGGCTGCCTGACAATGCCTGTCATGCTAGTCACACTCAAGATTGAGATCCCAGGATGGCACTTCAGATGCATCCCGGGCTGGAGAAAAGCCCAAACCAACCACCAAGAAACAAACAAAAAGGCACTGAAGTAAAGGAGTCAGGTCTGGCCGGCGTCAATATTGGCCACATGGTGGGTGGTAGGGTCTGGCTTCTTGTCTTCATGCTGGGGGAAGACCCCTCCCACACACACACACACCATCACCTGCCTCCCAGGTGATGGGCATGCCTGGATCCCTGGAGGCAGGGCAGGCACGCGGCTGATAGGTTACTGGATCTGTCAGTCCAGTACCTGGGGCTGAGGGTCCGCCCCCTGTTTCCACCTATTTAGGCCCAGACCAGCCTAGCCTGGAGGCTTCACACCACTGTGTGTGTGATCGCTCTGTGATTGCGTCCTGGCTCTGGCTCTTGGCTCCTGGCTCCTCTCCAGTCATCAGAGTCCCAATTCAGCTCTCCATCGGAGCTGAGCTGGCTTGTTGGTATTGTTCTTTCTTTCCCAGCTGTGCGGTGTGTATCTGCGTGCTGCAGGTCCTTGTAAAACCTGTTCACTGTATACTAAAGACTCCAACATCCTATATTTTAAAAGGTGCTGTTATCAGCACTTTGAGCAAGCAAAAATAAAAGCTCAGAAACAGCCATGAAGCCCCTGAGTTCAAACACACACACACAAACACACGCAAGCCAAAAGCAACAGAATCTTAACAATTTTTGCTCACTTTGAGGAGAGAGAAGTTTTCAGAATGAGTTTGAAGCTTTAATTTGGCATTTCTAGAAGTTTCCAATTACAGTAATACCCCATTCGTGCTGATGCTTATAAAGCACACACAGGGCTGTAAACAGTTCAAATATAAACATTTACACAGATCTTAACTACTTAAAAAGTAACAGAACCCATAAGGAACAATGCCTATTCCTGATCTTGTGATCAAATGCAAGAATGTTTCGTTTCTGTTGTTATTATGGTTTGCCAGTCCTGGGGCTTGAACTCAGTACCTGGGCGCTGTCCCTGAGCAGCTTTTGCTCAAGGCTGGTGCTCTGCCACTTGAGCCACAGCACATTTCCAGCTTTTTGTGTGTGTATGTGGTACTGAGGAATCGAACCCCAGGGCTTCATGCATGCGAAGCAAGCGCTCTACCACTGAGCCCACGTTCCCAGCCCAAGAATGTTTATATTCCCATTTTAACTTTGAGTTTTTAGTGGACTTCTGTTGTGCTTTTTCTTTATCTCTGTGCTGGTCCTGAATTTAAGGCCTAGGCATTTAAGGCCTGTGTGCGTGTGTGTGTGTGTGTGTGTGTGTGTGCGTGCGTGTGTGTGTCTGTCTGTGTCTGTTTTGTTTTGCTCAAGGCTGGCACTCTACCACGTGAGCCACAGCTCCACTTCTGGCCCTCTTTTGGTGCTTCAGTGGAGATCAGAGTCTCACCGACTTTCCTGCCCGGGCTGGCTTCGAACCCTGATCTTCAGATCTCAGCCTCCTGCGTAGCTGGGATGACAGGTGTGATCACTGGCACCTGGCTTTGGTGTTGTGTCTGCAGTCACTAGCGTCAGATGCACACCTCCTCTTCTCGGCCCCTGTCAGCCGGCTGTGGCTGCAGAGGGACCCCCTGCCCTGGGAGATGGGCCGGAGGGTGGCCGGGTCTGCTCCCTGGCCTGCTGTCAGCAGCTTTCTGCAGTTCAGTTTTGTTTTCTGGGAAGATGAAACTGAAGTCAATTTTCAAGAACTTGATCTACAGGAAGGCCAGTAATCTTGAAAACCCACAGGCATTTCCCAACCCAGTGTAAGTGGGCCAAGCCCCTTCCACCCCCCCTCACCCCCCCCACCCCGCCTTACATAACAGCCTCATTAGCATGTCCCCGCCCCTGCCGCGCCCCTCGGGCAGGCCCTGCCCCTCGGCCTTCAGGGCCTTCCATCAGAGGCTGAGAGGCTGCTGGGTCAAAGCTGCTCTTTCCCGTCTCTCTCCTTCCTCAGACATCCAAGGCTCCATCCAGGGGTGTCAGAAAGGGGGGGGTCCCCTCTTCCTGGCGACACCAAGACAAAGCTGTGGAGGGCAGGGGGCTCTGGGAAAAAGGGGGTGTGGGACACTGGGGATGCAGGTTTGGTTTTCTCTCTCTGGGCCTTTGGAAGCACGGTTCCCCCCTCAAACCAGAGCCGCTGTCCCCGGACAGCTGCTGTACCCCCAAAAGCAAACGGTTCTGCAGGGCCTTGCTAAGGAGGATCTGGGGCCCACCGTGACCTTGGGCTTGGAGAGGCCTCCATTTCTGTGTCTCTGCTCCAGGGCCTGGGCCTTTCTCTCTGGGGCCATCGGCTGCCATCTTGAAAGCCTGGGACAGGACACAGCCATCAGCACCCACGGGTCGCATCCTCCCAGCCAGGCCTGGCCCTGAACCACTGCCCCCACCCACCCAGCACCCCTGGACACACCTGGGCCTGCAGCCTCCTCCTCCTCCTCCTCGCTGTCCCCCAGGCCCCCCTGTTAAACCTGAAGCCCGTGTCTGCACCCAGAAGATTGAAGAGCTGTCCACCCCTGGCCACTGTGTGTGTGTGTGTGTGTGTGTGTGTGTGTGTGTGTGTGTGTGTGTGTCCTAGAGCTTGAACTCAGGGCCTGGGCGCTGTCCCTAAGCCTGTGTGCTCAAGGCTGCCACTCTACCACGTGAGCCACAGCCCCACTTCTGGAATTTTGCCGGTTCGTGGAAGATAGAGGCTCATGGATTCCTGCCCAGGTGGTCTTTGGACCCCGACTCTCGGGTCTCGTGAGTAGCTGGGATGACAGGCGTGAGCCACAGCGCCGGGCTCGTGGCTGGCCTCACCGGCCTCCTGGGCTTGGGAGTCCGACATCTGTAAAGCCTTGGGTTCAGCTCCCTATCTCGGAGGTCCCCAGAGGTGGCACTCTGCCCCCCGGGCCCTATTTCTATTTATTCCTGTGTCTGTGTCCTCTATTTCTGTTTCTTCTCTTCCTTCTCCCCGGCTGCCTTCTGGAGAGAGGCCTCAGCTCTCAACCACTCCACCCTCCCTTCACCAGATCTGGGGGCCCAGGGGACCCCACGAGGTCGCTGGCCCCACCGCACTGGACTCTCGGTTCTGAGTTCCCTCAGTGTAGTTTCTCGGTTGAGGGGGTGACAGGCTGAGTTCATCCATTTAAGGCAAGCCAGCTGCGCCGCTTCCTCCTCTGCTAGCAGCCGCAGAGAGCCTGACCCCTGGGGGGGGGGCGGTGCTGGGAGATCTGGGTGGGGGTGGGGGGTACCCCAGGATGTGGGGCAGGATGAGGGGTCACGGAAACTTGACACCTGACTTGGGGCCCCTATTTTCTGCCCAGGAGCAGCACAGAGCTTGTGGGAAGCAGCTGCCCCCCTCCTTTCCCCTCCCTCCTCCCCCTCCCCCCTCCCAACCCCCCGGGGAAGCAGGGGGGTTCCAGACCCCGAAGTGTGCTTCTCATCCATCTGTCTGTCCCTGAAGTGTGCTTCTCTTCCATCTGTCTGTCCAAGGTGTGCTCATCAATTGTGACCAGGGTTCTAAAACAGAACAAAACAAAAACCCCCCAAAAATCCACCAGGTAATTGCTAGGGGGATTTCAGGGTACAAGGAACAGCGCCACTGAACAGCTCTGCCCTTCCCAGTCATTATGATTTACTTCCCTGAAGCAGTTGTACACAAGGACTTTCCCCCCATCATGTCAGCCATCCTGTTTTTGTTCAAGAGAGCTAAGCTGGCATTTCCCCAATAAAATCATTTCCTTCACTCAGTCCAAGGGAAACTCCACCACCACGCCCTACTGTGGGTCATTTGTTAATGCTTTTCCGGGTGTGTGTGTGCGCGGACACGTGCGCCAGAGCTGGGATTTGAACTCAAGGATTCATGGCCTGGCTTTTTCCACTCAAGGCTGAGGCTCTGCCACATGACCCATGCCTCCAGTTTGGGTTTTCTGGTGGTTTATTGGAGAGAAGAGAGTCACAGACTTCCCTCCTGCCTGGGCTGGCTTTGAACCACGATCCTCAGATCTCAGCCTCCTGAGTAGCTGGGATGACAGGAGTTAGGATGCTACTGGAAGGTTTTAAGTAGAGAGATATAGGTTAACGGCCAGGAACATGGATATGTAAAGACACCTTAAAATGCAGACTGAGTTCACAGGATCTCTGAGAAAATACTGAAATTAAACTCTCAGAGCTGGGTCCCTGAGGAGGCCCAGGTCGAGATCTGAGGATTGCGGTTCAGAGTCAGCCCAGGTAGGAAAGTCCATGAGACTCTAATCTCCAACAAACCACCAGAAAACCAGAAGTGGAGCTGTGACTCACGTGGTAGAGCACCAGCCTTGAGCAAAAAATG